TGTTATTTCTTCTTGTCTGCAGGGTTTGGGTTTTGTTTGCTGTTGCTTTTCAAGTGTGTTGTGTTGCAATGTTAAGTCATTTATTTGTGTTTTTTTTGATTTTTTAAAATATCTTATTCATTATTTTTAGTGTATGAGTGTATTGCCTTCATGTATTTGAGTGCACCTGTGTCAAGAAATGCTGCGGAAGTCAGAAGAGGGCTTCGGGGCATTTAGAGCTATAACCTTCCCTCTAAGGTGACTGCTTTCAACCTGTCCCGGAGGTTTTGTTGTGTTGTATTGTCCTTTTCATTTAGTTCCAGGAATACTCTTCTTTCTTTCTTAATTTCTCCTTTGACCCATTCATCATTCAGGAGTGTGTTGTTCAATCTCCATGTGTTCATGTAGTCACTAGGGTTTCTTCCAGTGTTGATTTTAAGCTTTATTGCATTGTGGTCTGATAGAATTCATGGAATTATTTCAATATTTTTGTATTTGTTGAGGTTTGTTTTGTGCCCCTGTATATGGTTGATTTTCGAGAAAGTTCCATGGGGCACTGAATAGAAAATATATTCTTTGGTGCTTGAGTGGAATATTTGGTAGATGTATGTTAGGCCCATGTGATGTATGGTATTGTTTAGTTCACCTGTATCTCTGTTAATTCTCTGTCTTGTTGACCTATCTAATGGAGACAATGGGGTATTGAAGTACCCCACTGTTAATGAGCTAGGATTAATCTGATTAGTACTGATTTTATGAAGTTGGGTGTACCAGAGTTTGGTGAGTATATATTCATGATTGTAATATTGTGGGGACCTAAAGGCCCCACCTTGCATAAGTCCGAAAGGAAGTTACTGGGGGTGCAGCCTGGCTTGCTTTGAAAGTCTGAAGAATACTTCTATACTGCTGAGGAGTGCATGATCAGCCTGTGACCATCCTTAAGATACACCCTCAGGGGGGAGAGGGGATTTCCAGGTGCCTTTATAAGCTCTGTAATACCTGTAATAAATGAGTCCCTGCTTGACTAGGCTCCCCATTGTGTCTGAGTGTTCCCGGTACTGGGGGCAGCGTGGGCTGGTGAACGGTGTGCTTACTCATCCCCAATCATCACTGCGCTGGGGGTCGCTGGCTCGAACCCCCGGCATAATATTTTCTTGGTCAATTGTTCCTTTAATCAGAATGAAGTGGCCCTCTTTATGTCTTCTGATTAGTTTTAGGTTAAAGTCTATTTTGTCAGATATTAGAATTGCAATGCCTGCTTTTTTCCTTAGTGCCATTTTCTTGGTATATTTTTTCCCATCCTTTCACCTTAAGGTAGTGCCTGTCCTTGAAAGTGTGATGGGTTTCTTTCAGACAACAAAAAGATGGGTTTTGTTTCTTAACCCATTCTATTAGTCTGTGTCTTTTGACTGGGGAATTCAGCCCCTTACTATTTAAAGTTATTAATGAAAGAAGTGTATTGATTCCCATCATTTTTATTTCTATTCACATTCTTGGTGTAGCCGTGCATTTCCATAGTTACACCTTCATTGAGTTTCTTTTCATAACCCCTTGGGTATAGTTGTTCCTTTCTTCAGCTCTTTGTATTGCTTCAAGAACTTTCTGAAAGCCTGGTGCTGTGGACATGAATTCCTTCAGCCTATTTATGTGATAGAAGATTTTTCTTTCCCCTTTGACTATAACAGACATTTTGACTGGGTAAAGTAAACTGGGTTAGCATCTGTGGTCATTTAGCACTGGACTAGTTTGGTTCAGGCTCTTCTTTTGTAGTTTGCACTGAAAATTCAGCTGTAATTCTGACGGGTTTTCCTTTATATATGATTTTTTTTTCCTTTTGCAGCTTTCAGTATTCTCTCTTTGTTCTGTATGTTTAGTGTTTTTACTGTGATGTGCTGTGGAGAATTTCTTTTCTGGTCCTGTCTATTTGGTGTTCTATATGCTTCTTGTATTTGTATGGGCATGCTCTTTTTTTAATTTTGGGAAATTTTCTTTCACAATCCTGTTGAAGATCTGTTTCATACCATTATCTTGATATTCTTCTCCTTCCTGTATGCTATGATTCATAATTTTTTTTATGGTGTCACACAGTTCCTGTATGTTCCATTCTTGTGGTTTTTTTTTTTATAATTTTT